CATGCTTTAAAATGAAATCTAAACTTAATACAAACCTATTAAAACGCATTCTTATAATCTCTTGAAAGTGAATGATAACCATCTAGCAAAAAGCTTTGGGTTTGGTTCCTAAACTTAACTTAAAGTGCAATTCTATGCATAATTTGGGTCCCTCTACTCTGAGCTTTCCCATCACATCAGTTTTTCCCTTCTTTCCTTGCCTACTGCACAGCTGACCAGTGGCACACTCATAAATAGGAAGAATTTGGCACCCCATTTTTTCAAGTTTTTAAAATGAAAAACAACTTTTCAAGGGGGCAAGGAGTGGAGAGCTTCACAGGTGTCACTGGAGATCTCCGTGGGTGGCCCAGCAACTTCAGGTGCCACACTAGGGCTTCTGGGTTGCACAAGAACTCTGTTGGTGGGAGATGGGAACTGCATTCCTACCCATCTGGAAATGTCAACTTCCATAACCATGGCTTGCAGTGTCATCCAGACCAACAATCATTGGATAACATTAACTGCAGTCAGTTTAAAACAAGGCAACTTCACACTGCAGTTTATGAGGCTGGCTTGTGCAAATTCATCACAGTTAATGTTAACCACAGTTCTAGCAAGTTGTGATTGAGTAAAGGCAGAAACTTCCAAACATCTGACCATGCAGAAAGTGGAAAGGGGAAAGCATAACAACATGAAGTTCACTGCAGCTCATTCACACAGTGCTAAAACATCACTGAACATAATTTACAAATGAGACCAATATGTCGAGGAGTCAAGTTATAGACAAATAGAATAGGGATATACTTTTCATTTTACAAGTATATATAAAAAACTATTTCCCCCAGTAACTACTAGGTATGGGAGAAGCACAGATGCCTATGCTTGTGAAAGTTTGCAGTAACCAAAGCTCTTATTTCCAGAAAGTTCTCAGCACTTGTTTATTGCTAGTAAGGGATCTTGCTCAGTATCCCTGCACATGTACAAAAAAGAACAAATGGAAATCTCTTCAGTATCGAAGATGTAATTTTGCAATGAAAATTCAATGTAAGCTGCCTAGTTTGCACAGAAGTTCTAAGGTTCCACATATACTATGTAATTAATATAAAGCATTATATTTTAATCATTAAATCATCTGTATGTATGCTTGTTCTAACACTATATGAACTTTAAAACATAAAATCATTTTCAATTAATAAGGCTTTCCCCCCTCATGATTTAGATCAATCCACCCTGACAGGATGATTAAATCTCTTTACTGTTTGAGTCATAAGTCTGCTGCAAGATGCCAGTCTGAACATACCAAATTAAACTATGATCAAGATTCCAAAAGACAAAAAGAAACTTCCACTCTTTAAAGGCATTTTAACCATTACTACCTTCTCCCATTTAAAAACATGAAAAAGACATGCCCATGAAGGAACAAGGAAAAATCATCAAGTGTAAGGATGTTTCACTGGAGACCAAGGACAAAATCATCCACACTACTATATTCCAGATCATGAAGTGTGGGTGTGAAAGCTGGACAGTAAAGAAAGCTGATAGAAAGAACATGGATTCATTTGAAATGTGGTGCTGGAGGAGAGTTTTGTGACCATCAGAAAGACAAGCAAGAGGATCAAGGCAAGCCAAAACTTGCCCTGGAAGCAAAAATAACAAAACTGAAGCTGTCATTCTCTCGGCACATCATGAGAAGGCGAGACTCGCTGGAAAAGGGAATCATGCTAGGGAAAGTCGAAGACAAAGAGGAAGACCAAATATGAGAGGAACTGATTCCATAAAGATAGCCATAAGCTACAGCCTTGAGTTTGCAAGAGCTGAGCTGCCAAAGACAGGACATTATGGAGGGCATTCATTCACAACGCTGCGGTAAGTCAAAGACGACTTGATGAAATACAACAATTACAACAATAGCATTGTATTGTGCAACTGTGGCTGCAATTCTTTACCTATTTACCTGGAAGTAAATGCAATAAACTTAATGGAAGCTACTTCTCAATAAACTTATATGAAAATGCCTGTAGGAATGTTTCCACTAGAAGAAATGGATTTCATTACACAGACAGCAATTCTACACCACTTACCTAAGAAGAGGCACCACTGAATTCAATGGGACTTTCTTCAAAGAAGACAAGCATAGGCCTGTTTTATTAGTTACACAGAGCAACTGTTTTAAATGAACATTTACTGAAACAGTTGTTACCCATAAGAGTTCTTGAAACTGCACCAAACGGATGTTTGATAAGACAACATATAGTTTGTCTGTTACATCATTCAAAATGTGAGAACATCACAAAGGTGCATGAATTTGTAAAGCTCAATAAAGTGCTTCCAGAGGCACATAACACTGTAAACAAGATATCTCAGCTCTTCACTGAGACATAGTTTAGATGCTCAGGATTTCTAACAGACTGCAGCTGCAGAAGATAAAGAGCAATATTTAAAGTGTTTTATCTGATTCCCTTTAAAACAGCCAAGCTGCTTCTGTGACAACAGGGCATTCATTGTCTTTTCAAACAATTTAGGGAAGTATGCTTCAGCCTGGTGCACTCCAGATGTGCTGCACTAAAGACCCATCATCCACAGCCAGCAGAAGATGACAGCAGCTGTAGTCTGGAAGTCACCTGGAAGGTTGGGCAAGGCAGCTTTAGGACTTTTGGAAAACTGAGACTCGCTCATTCCCTTTTGATACTGGCACAACCTTCACATTAGTGACAGTCACAGACACCCTGCTGAACCACAACCAAGAGCACCCACAGGGCAGCAGTAAATTATCATCACTAATGTGCAAATGATGAGCCTCTAATTAACCATCCAGCAGAGAAACCTTATATCCTGTACCACAAGCTTCCCCAAGACTTGTAAAATGAAGTCAGAAATTGTGAAACAAACACAAAAACAAACAAACAAACAACCTTCACCTGAATACATGAGGCAAACATTGATTTGTTTTTGAAAGGCACAATTTTGCTAAGACTATTAGTCTAGGTTTGCAGTTCTTCACTTGAAAGAGATATTATTGCTGCTAGGGAACTCCTTATCCTTCAGGCAAGAAGTGAGCCATTGTACAGTATCCAGTGATCATCCTATGTAGAGCACAGCCACTGAAATTAATGAAATGCAAGTAAGTCACAACTAACTTAGCTCCTATTCATTTCTAAGAGGGACTGCTCCATGCAGGACTAACACTGAGTACTACCCATCATGAAAGAAAGGGAAAAAAACACTAGGAGCACAATCCTATGCCTGTTTTAGAAAGGAAAAAGTTCTACAACTCCACAGCATTCCCCAGCAAGAAATAGCTGGGTGGGGCAAACTGGGAGTTGTAGGACTATTTTTTATTTAAAACACGCAATCCTAAAACACGCATTCATAAGCATGTACATCAGAGATTGCACTAGATGCCCATGTTTAACTGTAGTGCTGACCCCAAAAGTATGTTCATTTCATTCATTTCTTTAGTCATGATCCACAAGTAATAATGTACATGGCAATAAAAGCACAACTCATGCTGGGCATGTTCCTTCCACATTTTTCTTCCATACAGCTCCCTATGTAAACTGAAAGACTTGCCTCTGGCAATGGAAGATGCTGTCATAGCTGGGAAACCTGTGACTCTCCTCCTGTTTGTTTGGCTACAGCTCCCATCATCCCTATCTCCAGCCATGGTGGATGGAGCTGATGGGAGATGAAATCCAACAACACCTGGAGGGCCAGTATTTTTACCCCTGCAGAAGAAAGTCAAAAGGAAGCTTCACTGAGCATACAGTGGCATTATCTGCATAGTACTATTATGGCAGCCTGAATTCTCAGCTTACCAAATTATGTATCATGTCATTTTATGAAACTCAGTTCAACTATAATTTCTGTATTAGGTCACAGAGGACACTGGGAAAAAAAGGAGGTGTTTTCCCGTTGCTCAAAGGATTGAAAGGCACTTAATATGGATCTTTCTCAACTTTTTCTCCAAGTGTAATAGTCATCTTTTTTTATGCTCACTGCTTCAAACATACCAAAAAGCAGTGGGCAGACAATGAATAAACAATCTCAAGGAACAGAATGAAATAAATTAATAAATATTAATTCTGCTCCTTACATTCTAGGCTGACTTGGAAGACTGTCACATAAAGATGGTACTATTGGTCAGGCTAGTCTTTGTTTAACATATTATAAAATCATACGCCTGTTTACTTTGTATTCAGTGGGAATCATTCCCCTGAAAACGTGTTTAGGGTTGCAACCTAAAACAGCTGAATTCCATCTAGGTCTACTCAGAAATAAGTTCCACTGAGCACAAGGGAACTTATCCAAGGTAAGTGTGCCCAGCAATGCAGGCTAAGTAAGTCAAACTTGTTGCAGAGCACATTCTAAGTACTAATTTCCAGCTAAGCTCCCAAATATATTGCAGATGAAGGGGAAAATACAACCCATATTCAAAATTACATCTGAAACGCCTGTGTCAGTCTAATGATAGGCAGATTCCCCTGGAAGGTTTCTCCCTTCAGACCACATTCTGTTAGGAAAGGTGATCATTGATTAGATCCACTCAGGAAGCTTTTCAGCAAGCGCCTGGTGGTCTGGTACGATTACTTTCAAGCCCATACTGCTGCTAAAACCAAACCCATCTTGCTGAAAACAAGTTTTTTTTCCTATGCTGATGCTTTGTATTTTGCACAGAGGACACAGAAAATGGTCATGACTATTTTATATTGTGTGTGTGTGTGTGTGTGTGTGAGAGAGAGAGAGAGAGAGAGAGAGAGAGAGAGAGAGAGAGAGAGATTTATGATCTCACAATAGCCAGCCTTTCTACAGCAATAGCTTGATCTTGGCTATCTCCATGGTGCCTCAGTTGCAAAACTCCCCGTTGTAATTTCTATGCATGGCGCATCAAACCCCAAGGAGCCACCGCCTCTGCTCTTCCCCCAAGCACTCGTCTCCAGGGCAACAGAAACCCCCGAAGAGTAGGCAGGCTTTCCTCTCTCTTCCTGCGGCTCCCATCAGTAGCCAAGGCTGCCGCCGCTCACCTGCTTGCCATCGAAGCTGCTCCCGATGCAGGTGTTGAGCCCGTGGTGTTGAGTTTCGTTGGCCTGGTCTGTGCTGTAGATCAGCCGGAAAGGGACGATGCTTTGCCTGTCCACAAAACGGTCCCCATCCCTTCGCTGCATCTCCGTCAACAAGGCGTCTCCTCGGGAGGGAAAAACGGAGGAAGAGGTGGGAGAGAGGAAGGGAGAAAGGAGGGGCTCAGTAACGATCAAGCAACTCTGGGCTTTATTGATAAAAATGACCCTGGTGGTAGGGTGGGATGGGGCGGGAGGCGAGTGGGGAAAAGGACCAGATGTTCTTACACTGCAGGAAGATATAGCAAGAAGAGATAGGCAGCATCGATCTCCATCTTAACGTGGGGACCTTTACATACCTTGCAGCTGATATTGTTAGGCATGTATTATTATTTAATGTCATGTTATACTGCTCCATACTAACGCACGCACAAGTAATAACACAAAACGCCGCCAAGCACTGGTTTTATCTCTCGGGAAGCGTTCCGGGGATGCTGCAAACTGCACCGAGCGAGCGAGGGTCACCCACGCCATGGAGGGCGATCCGGCAGGGCGACTTCCCTTCCCAGCTGTCCCCCCGCGTTTTCCTACAGTTGTGGCTCGAACCGGCTGCCGCTCCGCGGGATGCAAAGGCGAGCAGGGCTTACCTGCCCGGCTGGAGCGAGTTCCAGAGAGCATCCCGAAGGCACAGAGCGTCAAGGAGAGCAGAGGAGTCACTGGATGCATGGCTGGCTCTGACAGCGAGAGCGGTGGGGGGCCCTCCCTCCCTCCTGCCCGCAATGAGCGAGGATCACCAGGCGGCTGGCATGGTGGTGCTGGACGGGAAAGGCGCTCCCGCCGCCGGCTTCTCCTGCTCGCCAGCGGGAGAGGCGCGTTTCTCCCCGCCGCCTCAGTGCTGCATTGTGTTTGCCTGGCTTCCGCTCGCTTCCAGCGCTTTTACTGCATCGGGGGCTTTGCCGTAGCAGAGAGGCTTCAAGCTCCGCCCAGCTCGCCTCAAAGCCGTGCAACAGTCTCCCAGCCGAGGCCGCGGGAGAGGCGAGCCATGCTGCCTGCCTTTCTGCAAAATCACGCGCGCGCACGCACGCACTCGCGCCGCCGAGAGGGGAGGCGAAGCCGGGGCGCCCGTCGCTGGCGGAGGCGGGGAGGCTGGGAAATGTAGTTAGCGAAGTTCCTCGAAGGAAACGGGGTGGGGGCCGTGGGGGGACAGAGCTCAAGCACGGCGAAGAGCCCCCGTTTTCTTCTAGCCGCGGAAGAGGTTTTGCCATCCAGACCGTGCTAAAGGGCTCAGGCTAAGAATGGGCACGATCGTCCTACAGTAAACCCTAAACAAGCAGACGAAATTAAGAAGAAGACCATATTAATACCGTGAATTAATAATACAGTCTTAACAGAATAAGTAGCAAAGACACGTTCACAGGAACGAGGAGCAGTGCGGGTTACGAGCCAGTGTGACGCGAAGCGGACAGGAGGGAAGCCTTAACCACCTTCCCAGACCCTCGTGCCCTCCCGATGGGCTGGAGAATAACGTCGGCTGGAGACGGCGGGAACTGTGGGCTCGAGCGCACCAGGTTGGGAGAAAGATGCCGTAAGCTTAAAAAGCTACAAGAATCTTGAGCAATGCCACAGGGCTGCAGTCCTTGATGCATGGTCACGGCTGACATTTGGAGGCACGGGCGTATCTCCCCGTACTTTTTTCTGTCACACTGTGCGCACTTACTGCCGGAGCAAATGCCGGTGATGCTCTGTAAAGTGGCTTTCAGTGGACAGCAGACCATGCATCACACTTGGGTTGCATGTGCCTTCCAGATATTTTTGACTCGTATCATCATGGGTAATGGGCAGAGGGGATGCGTTGTAGTCAAAGATACACGAAATGTGCCAGGTCAGGGAATGCACCTCTGCAACTACGAAGACTGACAATAAACAAACATGACACAAGAGTCTTTGCACACATTTCTAGGCTGAAAAGGGGCCTCAGCTGCGTGTTTTTGATGCTCCGGGAAAGAAGAGTGAACAAAAAGGGATCATGACAGGACAGGGACAGGAAGCGAGATGGGGACACCTGCTGGAGGACTGAAGGACAAGGAGGGGTGAACAAGTCACAGTGAGCACCATCGTTCATCAGGCACACTGTGGCTTATTCCACAAATAACCTGTGCTGTGTAGTGTATTTGCAGTCTAGGTTGTCACATGGTGCAAACTCTCACACTTTATTATAACCTCATTTATACCTTTTGGACAGAAATCCAACAAAAAACAAACTGAGCAATGTAAAAGCACATGCAGTGCATGTTATGCATTAGAATTGTCAGTAAGGTGTGTATCCTGTTTAAGATTTGAGACAGTTTTAATTTAAATCTTTGATCTTTAGAATTATCATGTAACTGGAATATAGTAAGTACCCTGAATATATATAATAGCTATGTTTAATGTAAAGTAGTCAAAGTTACTATGGTTACTTACTATGATAGACGTATGCAACTATGTGGATATTAAGGGGTTTCAATATTAAGTTCATATGTTGGCTCTGAACTGTGAGACTTCAGAGGCAGATGGCTTGTAAACTTATTTTTCATTCACAAATGAGTATAAACAATGGCACTTAATTCTAAATATTGGGTCTATGTGCAGGTACGTCCCATTTGTTTCAGACAGCAGCCACAGCGATTAGTTATGCACTACATCCTGATGTTAACACAGTATCCAACATGTCCAAGTGTTTTAACTAAGATTTTATTTTCAATCTGTATTTTAGTTTTCTCCCTGTGTGTGTGCACTCAAAAGCATGCTTGAAAATATGTATTCTGTGCAATTCAAAAAAGAACTGAAATTCTTCTAAATAATGGTCTATTCAGTATAGGTAAGGATTTGATACACCAATTGAAATTTTTAAATCTATCAGTGCAGATAAGATTTCTTCCACTGGAAATGTCCTGATATAATAGGAACAGTCACTTTCCTGGACATTGGTGTAAGCACGCAAAGGCATTTCTTGAATGAGGAAGGAAGATCAAACTGAGGCATTCTTGTTAGCCACTACAATTTCAAGACGGTCCCGACTGGCCCAATAGATCTGAATGTTAGAAACAAAAGATCTATCTTTGTATACAAAGATTGCAAAACAGAAGCAGTGAAGTAATTCTTGAGTCTGGGGGAGGGGGGCTTCCAAAAATCATATAGGCATGTCTAAGAACTTGTGCATGCACACTAGGGCTCTCTTGAATGTCCAGTTCTAACTGTTGCACTCTGTACAATACCCAAAGCATCAGTCATTCCAAACCTTGTTGGAACAACAAGAGTATGTGCAAGGGATTACTAATAGGAAGAAAGGACTTAATCAGAGTAGGCTCATAAGTGAACAGCTTTGTCCTTTGTGCTGTATCTATGAACTTTAGTTCAATGATAGCTTTCTACTCCTGGTAGGTATTGTTACCAAACACTTTTCTTTAAATAAATGGACCCAATCTGGGACTTCTGGGTAAGGTTTATCAGGTACTACAGCCTTTGGAACACCTTCTGATGACTCACCTGATTGTGGAATTAGATTCACATTAGATTTCCAACAGGAAATACCACCTGAGATATTTACATGTTACTTCTCTGCATAACTAAAAGACTACTTGGCTGATATTAGCTAGATGGCTCCAAACAGCTAGTGATAACTCTGCATGTCATTATAAGATAGCTTTTGTAGACTTCACTAATATGTTGTCAATCTAAAGAAGGCTCCCACAACTTGTAAGTTCAGTAAGTAAGTATAGGTGAGAGCAAGATGTGGGGACTGAACCACTTTCAGCTCTAGAACAGATTCCATTTCAGAGACTGGTTGCGGGTTGTATTTCAGTGGTGGATGTGGCCAAATGCAAATGCGATGGAGCATATTTTAGCTAACCCTTAGAAGAGGCATTTCAACCTTTAAAAAACCTTGCACAGAAGCTGTAGAACCACTTTACAATTGGAGGTTGGGGGAAAGGGGGCGAGGCCAGGGAAAAGTCCAGATTGGACCTTGGGAAGGCCAGCAGCTTAACATTTTTGCTGTGTAGGTCATGGTACCAAAAACTCATGTTGAAATACATACTTCATAAGGTGAAAAAGGTTTGACTGGTTATCTCACAAGTTGTACTAAAAATGTCACAAGAGAACACAAATTTCCCTTCTATTCAGTACAATTTAACAAAACTTCCCAGCCCAAACTTATTTTCTGTCCAATAGAAAATAAAAAAATCACCCATCTGCTTTGAGATTTTTTTTGTCATAGCAATCCTCTAAGAGGGTGCAGTTGAATAGATTGTACTGGAGTGACAGCCACATCCAGTCTTGCTGGCTCACAGCAGCCAAAGCAGGAAATGGAAGGGGTGGCTAATTCACTCATGGGCCCTTTCGTCTTCCCTCCCATTGACTCTAGCATGAGGGAATTCAATGTATCAGTGCCAGGGTTGGTGTAGTGCAGGACCCTTGTTCTGAGTACACTGTGGGAACAAAGGAGCTTTGGATCCTGGAAACTCTGGGGCACAAGTGGTGGTGTCCCCAAGAGCTGTACATGACATCCCATCAACTGTTTTCTCTGCTTATGCTATTCCTATGGTCCCTCAACTGGTCTTTATTCAGTTTTAAGATTGTAGATTAAATTATTCTTACCTGGATGGCAGGGTACTCCCTGCACTACCAAGTCCCTTGCTTCATGCAGTTAAGTAGCATCCCCATGGTAACAACACATACCATGTAAATGGACTTACCAGGGCCAAGATGCTGCTATCTCTGAGTTTGTTAGGTATTTCCATAGGGCAATGTCTTCAGGGAAGACATCAGTCACCCTGCCCACATTTATTTACATTTCTAGGCTACCTTGCAGGGCAGCTCCAAGACCAGAGATAACTGTAGCTATTCCTATGAGCACTGTTCCCTCTCCCAATTGGCAGACTGGAAATAACAATAGGGATTTCACCAGTTCTGCTCACTGGAAGAAACCGAGAAGGCTCTATCAAGCCAGATTAGGGCTGTGAGATAAAAAGTATTATTTCTCTGCATGTGGCAACTACAAAAGATTTCATTAATGTGACAACTGCTGTAGAAGCAGGTGCTTTGAAGAATGACAGGGTATGTTTCCAACATTTTATCTGCGTAAGTGAAAGCAGAACATTAAGAGAAATCAGATATACTCAAGCCTACCAGAAGTTTTTGGTCTATGAGGTCAGTGCAGTAATGAGTACCACATAGCCACAATGACTCAGGAAGCAGAACTCGCCACTGAAGGGAAAACCAGAGCAAAAAAACACCTTTAATCACTTTATCCTCTGTGCCCTTAAGTATTACATTCTGTATCATCACAGCAAGGTTGGGCACTTCTGCAATCCTCCCCATGTAACTTCTCTATTTCAATACTTCCTGTAAATTTTCAACACACCCTAAATTCCCTAAATATGCCAAAAGATTGGATAAAGCTGCAATTCCATACTTGCTTGTTTTAGTAAATCCTATTAATCTCAATGGGATTTATGGCTAAGTCAGCATGAATGGGATTGTAATGTAAATTCTGCAATTTAAGAATTTCCCATTTTTACATTCAAATGCAGAAGTCCTCTAAATAGGCAAACATACTTTACATCCTCACCCACCCCCAGCCTTTTTATACATACACGCACACTTGGAATAGCATGAACATAAGGGTTTAATACAAGAATAATCACTATATAGTTTATTATGAAAACAAAATTTTCACAAATATGTTTCAGTTGCCATGTTTATTCAAAACTCATTGTTTTAAATAAAGCAGCATTAAAATCCAATAAATGGTGATGATGAGGCAGAAGTAGAAAACAAAGACCAGAGAGCATCTGTATGCTGGTCGTCCCAAGTCTCTTTCATTAAACTTGAATCTTTGTTGTCTTGCATACTTGAAAAACCCCCAAAATCAGAATTTGCATCACTGGTCTGAAATAACTGCAATAGTGCCTGCGTTGACGAGCTTTGTAGATTTTTCATTTCCTCTAGAACAGGTGGCTCATCAGTGTGCTGTAAGCATAACTCCATATTTTGTTTCTGACTTCCATTTTTATTCCTTCCTATAGAATGTACAACTTTTCTGCTGAATCTTATAGAAGGAGAGCTTTGTATACTAATGTCTGTTAGCTCACTGGGCTCAGGAGGACTATGTGGTAGCTTTTCTGTCTCTAGAAGGACTGAAAGTTCTTTTGGAAAATTGTTCCCCGCACCAAGATCAATTGCTGAATGGGTGTCTAACTTTTTCAAACATTTTGCTGGAAGAAGAACTGTACTGTTCAATTTTCGCTTTGGCTTTGGTGTGTTGCTCCTTTCACTAAACTCAGGGCCTTGAATCTGATTATGTAGTGAATTTAAATTTGTTGACAACCCTTGTGAATTCTGTCTTGACAAAGGCTCATAATGGTCAAAAATTTCAGGCAAGTTTTTCATACACAGCTGACTTTCTTTCTGGCAAGGTAGTTGTACCAAGTTTGTTGATAAAACAATCTCCGTTAATTTGGCAGGTTTTAGCATTTTGCCACTTTCAGTATTGCCACTCACTTTTCTTGATTCTTCTGAGGAACAGATGGTATGGTATGAAAAAGCAGAACATGAAGGTTCAGAGGTAGAATTTTTGTGTGCAGATTTTGGATGAATGTCTATGTGCTGAGGACTTTCTTTCAGCGTCTGAGTTGTAATACTTTTCCTAGAATACCATCTTAATGGAATATCTTGCCTCTTCAGCCGCTCTTTCAATTCTTCTGCTTTTGCTCCAATGAGAGGAGCAAATTGTCCAATACTACATTTTTGCCTAAAGGAAGTTATACAAGTAATAAAATTAAAAGGAATCTTCAAAGGTGGCATAAAAGAAAGAGATGATAAACAGTAAATCTAAGTAATATGGGCCAGCCATAAACAGAATATTGCAGATGTGCAATTTGCCCATAACACTGATATTACATAAACATCAGTGCAAATTATGAGGCATGCACATGTGCAGAGAGAAGCCAATCTGCAAATTTAATCAGCTTCCTGTGCTTGACTCAAAAGATACTTTCACTGTGTATCCCGACCTCTTTTTTGTCTACTGACCCTTTGAAGGAGCCTTCAAAGTAGAACAATAATTACAGAAAATCATAGTATACAAAATAAACTAAGTTTTCAATCAAAATCTCTAAATGCAATCACCATTAATTACCTGCAGGAAGTTATAAGATTATTTTACCTTTTAATTTTTGGTGTATTCTCTCTTAACTCTAAAAAATCACAAGGAAACTTGGAAATGATGTCATCCACAACTTGATAGTGAGAACTCTGTGCAAAGTTTTGATGTTGTTCACTTTCAACATGCTGAAGTTAAAAAGAAGATAAAATACCACACTGGTAGCACTCATATGGAAATTATTCATCTAAAATTAAAATAGATGTGGTATTTTTCTTGTGCAAGACAACATTAACTACAAACAACAGCAGACATTGGATCTTTAACCCCTGATAACACTACCAAAACTGATTTCAGGTTGTGAAAAATAAATTCTTCACTTTAGTGTAACATATATATTTTCTATGTAATAAGTGTATAATTTGCAGTTACTCTACTATTTTAAATAATTGGAACAGTTCCATAACTAGGAAGGCCTTACAGATAAATAGTGCCAACTTAAATGTGGATGTGGCCGGCCAGCAGACATGGCCTGCCTGTAGACTTTCAGCCCTGTCTGAAAATAACAAGAAAGAACTCAGAAATTAACTCCCTTAGGCACTGAAGGTGGCCAAAAAAGAACTACAGGAGTTCTTTTATAGGGATGCCAGGGTGGGAGGGGGGTTCCCACCAAAACACTTTTAAATCTTCCAGGTAACAGACTCTATGAAGGGGCAGAGCCCATGGGTGGTGCAGTGGTTAAGAGAGCCAGTGTGGTGCAGTGGTTAAGAGCATGAGACTGGGACTCAGAGGATCTGGGTTCTAGTCCCCGCTCAGCCATGGAGCCAACTGGGTGACTTTGGGCCAGTCACAAACTCTCAGCCCAACCTACCTCACAGGGTTGTTGCAGGGATAAGATGGAGGAGGAGAGATGATGTAAGCTGCCTTGAGCCCTTTGTAGGAAAAAGGCAGGATATAAATTGCAATATAAATAAATAAAAATAAATGGGTGTACTGCACATAGACAACAAAGAAAAAACTCACATGATCCACAAGAGCACAGGTTTTAATAACCTGAGCACATCCATTCCTCTTGCAGGGCAGTGAAACCTAAAACCACCAGTAGCTTTGTTTTCAATATCTACATCAAACTGCTGAGGGAAGAATTTCTGAAGTTTGAGTTGCAGTATCACCACTATGTGGTTGACACTCAACTCTCCCTTTTGTTTCTAGTGATCTTAGGGAGCCTGAAGAACTCTTGAACTGATGGAAGTTTTGGGATGGATGAGGGCAAACAACAAACCTTTTATCATCTGTTTAAATTTATATTAATTGAGAAAATAAAAGATTTTGAAGGACTCTTCTTTTAGAGAAAAAGGTGTTTTAAAAGACAGATGTGACCCCCAAACCTCTGGAAGACATTAAAATTTAAGTACATATCCTACACAAAAATAAGCCAATTAAATATACTGGCTCAGCTAAAATATACTTACAGCTTGAAGATCATCATACTTCTTCAGACAACATTCACAATAGCCTTTTCTCTTCTTATGTTTCACAGGAACCTGAAGTGGGCCCTTTTCTTTGTCAGTGTTTGCTGGGTTTCTATTGATAAGCAATAAGATATCTTATTTATAAATTTGTTAAGAGGATATGCCAGACCATTAAGAACATAGTGCAGGGGTCCAAATTTTTTGTTTTGATCTGTTAGCTAAACATTTCTTTCTGCTAGCTAGTTGTGAAATGCCACCCCACTATGAAGCAATGTTGCAGACATTTTCAAAATATTTATCAGTTTAATCAGAATCATGTATATATACATATTCTGGTACAAATTCTACAAGATGGGGAAAGTATGATTTTGATTAGTAAGATGCTTATCTTAATTTTCTACCCAAAAACATTTGTAACAAATGTGGAGAAGAACTCCTATTGCTACCTATTAAGCACATGTCATGATTAGGAAAACACTGCAAATGTTAAGCCACAGAAATGTCTCCCTACTCAAATCTATAAAAATACAGTCAGAAAAAGCTTATTTTATACATTGTCCAGTACACCAAATAATGGAAAAGACTGATGGGATACAGTACAATTGTAGCACACACAAAAAGTACATATTAAATCTTTATCTAGCTAGACTGTCAAAAGATTTCACTACTGAGCAGATAACAACACAACCCATTATTCAAATGATTAAATCATTGAATCAACAGAATAAGCTTCTTACATGACCATAGCAATGATGCAATAAGACACAATGCCCTATCATTTTACGTTGCTATAACTAGCAGTATTCCTAATTTTCAGCTAAAAATAGTAACTAAATTCCATTTTAAAAAAAGATCAAAACCTTGGAAAATCAATCTCTAGCACCATTTGTCTGCTACTGGCATAGGCTTCATCCTGAAAGAAATGCAGGGCTTGCTACTTTCATCAGACAGTGAAAGCCTCATTTTATCTGTTCTGCTGGTATCTCAAGTGAATGTTGGGCAAATTATATCATTATACTTTATCTCTGAATCCAAAGGTATCCTGCATTCTACACTTGCTTCTGAAGATGTAATCTCTAGTGCTACTTGTCATACTTTCCCAGGATCACAGTGTTTCAACATCAGTGACACAAAAATCAAGAGCTAAGGTAGATATCCCACACTTAATCATAATGATCAATGAAGCAAGCTGAACTAGACAATACAACCATCTTAAGGAAATCAGTCATATGGAAAGTCTACCATTTGCATGCAATGGTGGCAAATCATGTCAATTAGGTCACAACGTATCACAATGTTGGCCAGGTGCATGCTTTGGCCATTCTGAATATTGAAACAATGACTGGGCTGACCAGGGGTCGCTATGTGATGTCTGAACCCAACACTTTAGGTTAGTTATAGGTTATACCCATAGTTAGCCTAGAATTAGTAGTTACACTGACTGTGAATAGTTTGACCTATGTTTAGCATACAGAGCTGGTATGTACATTACTGAAGTTATTGTGGGTTGATTCTGGGCATCCATTTCCAAGAAATGTTCAGAGCCTAGGAATGGAAAGGCCTATTTGTGCCTTATCCAGCTTAGCCTTTTCTGACATCAGCTGCTTTTAAAGGCAGAGTATGTTGATAGACCTCTTGATGTTGGTAGACTTTGCTTGGGCTAACTCCCATTAGCCCAAGCAAAGAAACCCAGTGAGTTAACACTGTAAATAACTGCAAACAGCCCCAGTGCTAAAACTGAAAGGCATCAAATCATTTTTTGTTAAATTCCAAGGGTAATATTTGATTACTGTAAAATAACTCACCTGGAAAACTTAGCCCTTTCCTGAATTTATGCAACATCTACGCAAAGATTTTGAAAAGTGAGTAACCAAGTACCCAATCTTCTGGACAAAAGCTCTCTTCACACGTTTATTTTTGCAGTGGTAATATTTATGTCATAATCATACCATTTCATTTGTTTGTGGAGAGCCATTTGTATGCAATAACACTTCCTACATATCTCCATATTTAGCAGATTAAAGAACACATTTCAAATTGTGGAATCTTTGGATCTTCACAGGAGAGAAAATGTATACTCCCGTGTATAAGGAAGTGGCAAACTGATAAAAAGTGAATGCACAGATGAGCCCTAAATCTTCAGCTCTTCAGAAACAACATTCTTTCATTTAAACCAAAAAAAAGCCCCTTCCTGTTGGTCTTAACACACTGAATAGTACATATTATCATGAGAGAATCCCACAGACCAGTGGTGGTGAACCTATGGCACATGTGCCACAGCAGTCACGCAAAGCCCTCTCTATTGGCAGACGAACCAAGTCGCCCCAGGATCGCCCCAGCAGCCGAGCATTGGATAACAGCACACACGGGGGCCATGCACATGTTTGGAAAGGAGTAGCAGCGCCAATCAATGACATCACGAAGCGCGACTCATTAGCTGCAACTCATCCGAGCTTTCGCATGGCCGGTCAGTGCGCTGCCAAGGATATGTATATATTTGCTTGGAGTGGCTGTGAGTTGTTTTTTCTAAACTAAAACCTCAGTATTCAGGTTTGATTGCAGTGTTGGCACTTTGCGATAAATAAGTGGGTTTTGGGTTGTAGTTTGGGCACTCAGTCTCTAAAAGGTTTGCCATCACTGCCATACACTGTAGTATTACTAATTTTATTTATTAAAGTATTTTAAAACTGTCCTTCATCCTTATAGATGGCATGTGTGCAAAACTTTGATTAAAAACACAAGATATAATAAAAACACTAAAACAACAGTGATACCATTATCTCAGCATGGTTTGCTCCACGGAATATGACCACAAATTGTTAAGAGCATCAAAGACAGGAATGTTATTTTTGTAGGCATCTCAAATTATGAGTTTAACTCACTTTCTGTATACCTGTAATTAGATAACCCCATACAGCCTTAGAATTTCCCTTATCAGTTGCTTTTTCTTGGTTCTATAACAAAGCAATCAACATGGGACTCATGTGTAATGAAAAG